GGATTTCTCTCCATTGTCTATGTCCTAGAAAATGTATTCTCCTGCTCGGGCTTGTGCCTCTACTTGCCGCCTGTAAGGCCTGAAATATGCTATGTRCGAATGGTCTGAACCATTCTGGATTTGATTTGGGATTGAGAACAATATAACTTTAGTCGTCGACATTGAGCTGAAAGGAGTTATTTATCCCCGGAAATTTTTCTACACACGTATGAATCAATCTGTGTTCCTTCGAGCGCGATGTCTCTCGGGCGCTTAGCGTAAGGTGATCATTGGATGTTCTTTTTCTAGAGACGCCAAAGTAAATCACGTGCCTTGACTAGCGTCGACTAAGAAAACTGGCGAACACTGTAGCGCTTGAGGGAATATGTTCGAAGGAGACGGAAATCAACTGGCAGTATTTGCCCACATCCACAACGCGGGAGAAATACTCCTCGATGCTGTTCACGCAAAAACCTTCAAGTATGCAGCACTCTTCAAACAATAAAACTGATGCTGTGCTATCTGATCATGGTAGCGACCATATCTCTTGGGACCCGCGTTGGTCAGATGATATAGTCGATGGCCTTACGATCGCACGGGCCTTTCTTGAGAGCAGCGATCAGGTAGGCCATTGGATGTATTATCTATTATAAAAACTAATCAGCGCAGGAGTCAGCGCCTATGGACTTGGATAGTGATACAGAGGTTACCTCTTTCGACAGTGATCATGATGGTGAAGATGATACATTCCCTGTTCACCCCAAGCACATTTTGAATTGTCTGCTCATGTCTCCGGTTGATTTATGCCACAGTGCGACCTGTTACTTTGATAGAACGCAAAGACACCCCAAATAACGAGGCAAATGAAACACTCGCAGACCCAGGCGCCGCGCCAATATCTTCGCAAGTTCCTCCTCCCGCAGATACCCTATACCTTACGAAGGCGGATGGTGGCCAGAACCTGCGTCCCAGGCCGGTGGAAGGTGGAACGCCATGGAGACAGCTGGCTCGCGTAAATTCTGCTCCACTCGACACATGGAAAATTTATCTTGGGGATATTGTCACAGTCTGTATCGAGAAAGAGAGAGAGAATTATGCCAAAATATCCGAGATAAGACGCCTGGAGGATGGGCGTTATATGGTCGTGTATACGTGGCTGTATGCGCGCGAAGAAGTCCAGGCGGAATTTGAGACAGACGGTGTCATGCCAGACCTCCTCCGTAAGAACTTGGATCAGCGATGGCCGGCCGATGCCACGTTCCAGTATATGCTAAGTACCAACCGTACCATCACGCTCTGGGACACTGCGATTTCACGAGCTCCAAAGCACGTGGTTGATTTACTATGCCACAGTTCTATTTATAATACCACGCACACCGCTCGTTATATCTGGAGCTTGAACAGTCCTCGATTTAAATGGATGAAACAGATCCATGACTTGGGTGCCTATAACACTGTTTGATAGAATAGCTATCTCTGTAATGATTTATGTATATCCGCTAGTTTTATATTTCACTGATGTAGAATACTCATTACGGCATTGTTTGAAGGAGGCACATATTCATTTCATTCGACGTAGCTGAGAAGGTGATAAGAGGAAACTTAAGTGTGTCACAAACATATGTCGAGATAAGGTCATCGCCCGTTCCTCCGTACCGCAAGGACAGTCATGGACTATCTCATCGTGCAAGTGGTGTTCCCATAATCGAAGGACGCTCACTCGCCATTGTCGATGCGATGCAGCCCATGCAGCTAGGAGGTTTTGTAAGCGGACCCATGCCTGGAGAGCGACGTCCAGTTTTCCGCTGCTCAAGCACACATCGAGACAACGTTCGAACCAACCATAACAGACATCGCGCGCCGTAGATGAGAGGGCTTGATCTAACCCATGCAGCAAATACGACGCAATGGCAGCAAGCGATTCGGATGTTGTGAAGTCCTTCGCAACAAGGAACCCCCCTTGTAGGGTAAATGTGGCATGGATGCAGCCGGCCGGAATATGAATGGCATGAGATGCTGTCATTGATGCTACAACCCCTCCTTCTAGCCGATGCATAATCCGCACAAGCTTTGCTCTTTGGCAGTCTACCGTCTTCATAGCCGTCAGATTGTTTGCCGTAGGGGGATACAACAGCCATATCTTTCGGCAATCGCCGATCACAGTGGACAAACCGTCCGCTCCATAATCTGAATCACCTTAGCTGGACGTTCCTTCTGGTCAACCATGGGAGACCTACCAATATGAAGATCGATAAAGGAGAACTTGGGGGTCATATTGACCTGGACGTTGCATTCTTCCTCGGGTTCCACAACCGCACAAAGATCATAGGGACAGCGAAAGACGCAGCTTTCAATGGTCGCCAGTCGCAGGCCTGTGAGAAACACTGGACGACACGGGTCTGGATCAATCAGTTGCGCAAGGGCCATACCAGGGTTGAGGGAGTCGTTGATTTCGCCTTGGTAGTTGATTCGGAAGTCCTCCTCGGAATCAGACTGGATCTGTTTGCTCCCAATTCTGACCAACGCGTCGAGAACTAATTCGCGAGCGGAAGGCATCCGAACAGTCCAGCATTGGGTTGAACTGTACAGTGTTGGCAAGGATGTCGTGCATGAATGCCATAATGACCGGAGTGTCGGCGAGGAGTCATTCGCAGGGTACAGTTTACATTGTTTCAGGCCGCCGAAGGATGCTCCAAAGTGTTCCTGGATTTCTGTTATGGCTTGTTGCACAGGGCTGGCCGATGAGAGTCCCTGGCATACAACAGCGCCCTCTGATGTAAATTTTTCTCCATAACGCGCAGTGATCCAGCGGGGGTTTCTAACAAAATTGTCAACAGAGCATCATGAATGATTCTGGTAAACTCAGAGCGTAACACACCTCACTTCAACTCCAGCACGCTCAGCTGCAACACTGAGGTTCCTAGCCTGATATGTGTAAGTCTTAAGATGTTTTCGAAGACGACTAGCATTCGAATGCCGTTTTCCGCAGTATGGGCAGATCCTCATACAGGACGAGACATGAAGAGTGGCATCGCTTCTGGGCCATGTCTTATATATTCCTTGATGTGAAGAACATTCGCATCCAGGAATGATCGGTATTGGGAGCTCCATCCARAGCTCGCTCCGAAATGCCTGCTTTGAGTGTGACACAAGCAGTGAAAAAGCTCCGCTATGCCGTGACGACGTACCTTGGTCGTCCCCCATTCGCCCCTTATTCATCCGTAATCGTCCGTAATCGTCCCGCT